AGTAAGACATGGAAAGTAAGTCAGTAGTAACTAGTGTTTCTCCATGGCTTCTTCATTAGCCCTTGCCTTGAGTTCCTTCCCTAACCTCCCTCAGTGATAGACTGTTAAACTGTAAGCTAAAATAAGTGCTTTCCTCCCCATGTTGCTCATGATCTTGGTGTTTTACCTCAACAATAGGCACCCCTGTTTGTTGTCAAGTAATCTATGAAACGGTATCAGACAGAACTGGTTAAGTGTCCAGGGCAGGGTAGACTTCTATAAATACAAGATGATTTGTGTAAAGAGCTATGAATTCACAAATAAGTAGAGAGGTGAACAGTACAGGCTTTGTTATTTGTAAAACCTTGATTTTTAAGGACTCTGATTGGCAGTACAATATGTCAGAGAATACTTACACTACACATGGTGCTGCATTCTTATGTCAATAATAAGAACATAAGTAAAACAAATGGAGGAGTTGGCTGTATTATCTAAAGGCCATGAGGTGGAGACCAAATTATAGAAAATAGAACGTTTTGACATCAACAAATAAAAAGGAGTAGCAGAAAATATTGACTGTTTAAAAATACTATATTCGGCAAAGTACCATTCCTTTCCCTTTCCTACTTTAAAATTGAGAAACAGTTTTAATAGTACTTAAAGTAGCATCAGAAGTTAAAAAATAATGTCTTAAATGACTTTCTAATTAAGACCTTCATTAGAAACGCTTATTGTACCACTCGTTACTGAAGCAATGGTGGCATCTGGTCTTCACTTGTAGGTGCTTCAGCCTCTTTTGCTTACCATTCAGTGGAGGCTTAGAAGGAAGGAAGGGAGAGAGGAAAAAAGGAAGGACAGACATACATGAGAGATCATATACCCAGTTAAGTTCTCCCAGCTCCACCAGTCAGGAAACTGTGAAGGGGTAGAAAGAAACTTAATTAGTGTTACCATTCGTTATCTTTCCCTCCTGGAGACTGAGAGGAAAAATAGGGGGAGAGAATAAATGTTTTCCCGTACCATGCATCCTGTAATGAGCATGATAGTATTTAGTAGTTAGCTGTCATGTTGCTAGTGGTACGGTGAAGTGATGAGAGCAGCTGCCTCACTGTTGTGCTCCACTGAATTGGATACCACTCGCATTATACCATGCTTAGTTAGCTACTTCCATCGGAAAACATCTCGCCATATTTCAGCTATTGAAAATATGATCTTCCTGGTTATATGTGTTTTCATTCCATTAGGCTACTGTGCTTATTAGATACTTGGATATGAATATGGCCAAATGCTAACTGACTTTGAAAGGTACTCCTAGCTATACTAAGCATATATTCCTTAAGATATAACTAGTCAACTTGAAGAGAATTTATGTATTCTGTCAAGAGACTGTACAAATTTTTTCCCATGCAGCAGCTGTTGCTCCTCTTACAGAAGTAACCAAATTTTCTTGGTGGACATTGAAGGGAATTTTCTGCTTTCTTTTCCGCTTTATTTTTCCTTAGCATGATTATGCACATCTTTAAATCCTCTTGTTTTTTTTTTTTGTTTTGTTGCTGATATACTTTTACCACAAGACATTTACATGCAGGGACATATATGTCCCTATTAACCTTGTTGATGCCTTTTTATTTAAATTTTATTTTTTGAGGTTATGACTATAGCATTTTTCCCCTTTCCTCTAAGCTCTAAACGCTCCCATAGTCGCTCCCTACTCTTCTTCAAATTCATGGCCTCTTTATTATTATAATCATATATGCATATGTGTATGCGTAGGTATTCCTAAATATAATCTGTTTGGTCCATATTGTGTTACTTGTGTGTATATATATTTGGGGCTGACTGTTGGGCACTGGACAACCAATTGATGTGCTCCTCCCTGAAGAAAATGGTTTCTCTGTTGCCCAGCATTCCTTATTTGCTTGTAGAGTTACCTTGCGGATTTTTCGCCCCATCCACGTTGACATATATTGTTGTCCTTGGTCAGCCCATGTTTGGTCAATCATGTTGATGAGAGGTTATGGGTATAGCTTCTAACATAACTAGAAGACACAGAATCAGCGAGCTCCCTGTGCCTCTGGCTTTTAAAATCTTTCTGCCCCCACTTCCTCAATGTTCCCTGAGGTACAAGAAAATTTCTAGCTCTTCCAGCTCTCTCTACCTCTCTTTTTCTTGTATATAGGGAGTGTTTACTTTTTTTGTTTAATTGACTGACCTGCAACACTAACCCATTGTTTATATCATTTGTTATATAGCAAGAAAAGATGTTTTTTGGGTTTCAAAAACTGAGTTCTCAATAAATTCTGCTTATAGTTTGAGTCTTATACCGTATATAACAAATACTGTTTTAGCCAACAGCCTTTAGTATTCATTTTTCCCAAGTACTAGTAGAGCTATATAAATAACAGCTGTTACAAGAGAGTCTGCCTTTTTATCTGATAACATAAAGAACCCATGCATGGGGTAAACAGAATGCTGAAACACCTGTACCTGGTTTGGAACCAGCAGAATGTTGAAGTCTCTAAAGACGCGTGTATAGTTTTCAGATAAAAGGGAAAATGCTAGTGCTAGAATAATTAGAGTGCTAGTTTAAGCTAGTCTTTGCCCTAATTCTGATTTAGCGCATTGTCAGATCTCCTGTCAATTCTCACCATTAATTTTTCTAAACTATTTCCCAGCTTTTCTTGTCCTTTCCCCCGCCTCACAAGTGGGGGTGCTGGCTTTTGTCAGCATAGAATCAGAAGATAGAGCAGATAGGAGGTGGAGGAACAAGAGGTGAGTAAGATTAGGTAGGTGTGTACAAGATGGTCATGCAAATTTTATATATAGCCTTGCCCTTGAACTTTTGGGAATTTCTGATGACTGGAAAGTATCATATTTGGGTTAATGCTGCTTAGCAGTTAGGAAAGTCTTTCTTTAGCTTCTACTGTATCAGCTACCTGGTTAACTGTTGTTAATCTGCATTACAAAGGTATTCATTGTGTGCAACTGCAAAGAGCATTTTCTTATGGAAAAAAGACTAGTGTTTAGTAATCTGTATAGTTTATAGGTTCTATAATGTCTCTCATTGAGTTTGATATGAATTGGCTGCCTTTTTGAATAAATGAAATCATGTAAATTTAAAATAATTATAAAGTCTAAAAACTACATTTTTTAAATTTCAAATGTATTTTTAAATCAATCATAAGTACAGAGTAGTATGTCCTAAGTTAACCAATAAAAGTCTAGAATCCTGACTTTGTAGTTTTCATTGTGTAGGATATAGTACAAGTTAAATACACTAACATTGTAAAATTTCAGAATCTAAGACTCATTGGGGCATCAAATATCTACTACATGGGGAAGCTGAGACAGTCGATTTAGTAGACATAAAGCACACTAATTAGCTATTGCCTAGCCCATAGTAATTAGTATAAAAGTATATAAGTATTGGCTAACATTTATTTTTATTGTTGTTTTTAGTGGTAAAGTATTTTAAAAAATGAATTAGAGTTCAAATCTTATCTGTAGTGACTGGTTTTATTAAAGTTAATAAGCATATACCCCTATTTCTATTGTCACTATTGGGAATTACCCCTAAGAATGTCATGCTTACTTGTACAAATAGTACAGATGTGGAGGATAGTTACATATGGGTTCACCTTCATGTGCAGGCAGCATTAAGTAACCAGCACGCTAGTGACTGACTTTTCTTACTGCTTGGTCTCAATTCTCAACACATATTTTCAATACTTATTTGTACACTTTAGCCATTTCAGTAAAGACACAGATATTTTAAAATGCCCAACAATGCATATCAGAGAAAAAATTGATATTCCCTTTTCCATCCTTGAACTCCTATCTTGATAGTCTCTCTTGAGCAGAAGTAGCAAATTATCAGCAACTTTTTTTTTCTCAAAATACTCTGCACGTAAAACACATGTGCGTATGCCCACTCATGTCCTTTCTACACCTTGGCCCTCTGCACACGTCCTTTTAGCCTCACCTCATCGTGACTGCTCACAGCTCATTCCCGCCTGGGCTTTGGTTAACAGTCTGAGCATGTATCCACTGTCATTTCTCTTTTCCTCTGTAGAATGCTTCGTTTGCAATTTTTTATTTCTCATTAAAAATTTATTTCTCACAAAAAATCCTTTATGTACTTTTTCTATGTAAATTTAAGTTATTGGAATTACTAAGTCAGAGGATGTGTATTTTAATTGATAAATACCAGTTAAAGTTTGCTCCTCTTATCCTCCAAATAGCTTAATGTCAGCTTTTATATCTTATCTAGCTGATGTGTGACAAATATTGTATCTGTGTCTGCCTAATTTGCATGTTTAAAAATCCTTTGGTATTCTCCACTAAAAATTCTTTGCCACTTTTTTAAAGATTAGTTTTTTGCTTATATTTCTGAGGAATCATAAGGAAAGTGGCTCTTTATGTGCTACTTTACCCTTAGTTCTTTGTCTCTTGACTTATTGTTATAAAACTTTATATATAGAAATTTAAAATTTTATGTAGTCAAGTATTTTAAATTAGTTATTATGGTGTTTGAATTTAAAACTGTCCATATACTTTCCTCCTGCAATTTCTTCTTATATTTTAGTGTATCTTGATTTTTTTTTAAATATAGGGAGATATAGGGATTAATTTATTAACTTTATAATAAGAATAGGAATTAGCCTTAATTTATGTTGTAATTAGTTTGCCATTCTAACACCATTAAAACATTTTTATTTTACATTTTATCTTCAGTGATTTGCATTATATGTTGTATGCTAAGCTTAATTGCGGATTTTTAATGTTCTCCTGTAGTTCTTCTGTACTACACTGGCATGTGCATTTCTTTTATAACTACTATTTTATATTTTGTCCTATGTGTAGGGTACTTTAAAAATAGTTTCTCAGTTGATGTTTTACTCTGTCAAACTTTAAATCATGTGTATAACCATATGCCTGCCCTTTTACAGTCTAAAACTGATTTGTGTGTATACAACTTCATGATTTCAACTCAGTTTAAAGAATATTCTTTTTTTTCCTAGCTTTTAACCTAGACAACGAGCAACCAGATTATGATATGGATTCGGAAGATGAGACATTATTAAATAGACTTAACAGAAAGATGGAAATTAAACCTTTGCAATTTGAAATTATGATTGACAGACTTGAAAAAGCCAGTTCTAACCAGGTACTGTACCATGTAAAAGTGTCTCTTTATAATTAAACTAATTAACACTTTAGCTTCCCCTCATCCAAGTGTGTTGTCGGAATGTGCTGATTTTACTGTTTGTTGAATTTCTTTCTTTTTCTGACATCCTAGAATTTCTGTGTGAACTAAATATTTCATCATTTTCTTGAATAGGAGCATGGAGAGTAACGTCCTGACTTTTTCCATATGGATTGAATAGTGTTTGAGTGCCTTGATCCTTTGCGTAGTTGCTATGTTTTTGATATTTCCACACCTAATTTTGTTTCAATTGGATTTCTGAGGTAGTTATCTTAAATCTTGTTCAGTTGCCCAAATGTATACAAGTTTCCATTATTTTCAATGAGTTTTAAATTTAATAACTCGCATATTATTCAAAATGCTAAGTTATAGAAAATCAGTCACAAAGTAATGAGAATTTCTTTAGTAAGCAAAATTTCACAAGGAATTTAGACTAGTAGCTGTCTTTCTAGAAAGAATTAAACTGCTCGTGTCAGGAGACTTGAAGTGCTCATCCTTTTGACTTAATGACCTCATGTCTAGAATTATCTGCAGAAAAATAAATAGATTGCTGGGGGTGTTGCTCAGATGGGATGCTCTTACTTAACATGTGGAAAACCTGGTATCATTTCCCTTGCACCACAAAAATTAAAAGAGAGACATTTACCTGTATGATGGAATATAATGTGGGCATTTTAATAATGAGTTGGAAAGGTGACTAATATCAGAGGATATTGTTTATTGCGTAATACTAAGTTTCGAAAAGAGGATTTAGAATTTACTCAGCAAACTGAGGTTTAGGTAAGGCATATTTGCATATGTACAGTAAGAAAAAGAAGCTACAACAAAATGCCAACAATGGTATGGTTGTATTTGGATGATGAAATTATTGGGGATTTTTGTACTCTTTATGCTATTTTTGTCTTGCAAGCTTGCTATAATAAAAGATGTAGTTTTTCATAATTAGATTTTTAAATAAACTGTCTTTAGCATTACTTTTGGTATGGTGTGGTATATTAATGTGCTAGTTATTTATAAGGAAGTTAGGGATATAACAAAAATTGCAAATAAACTATACAATCGATTATTAATTTTTTTCACTAGTTTTCGTATAAAAGTTGATTCCCCTTACAACTTAAATTCTTTACATCTCTAAGGCAGTGGTTCTCAACCTATGGGTCATGAATGACCTTTTTTGGGGGGGCACATACCAGATATCCTGCATATCACATATTTATATTATAATTTATAATAGCAAAATTATAGTTATGAAGTAGCAACAAAAATAATTTTATGTTTGGAGGTCACCATAGCATGAGGAACTGTATTATAAAGGTTTGCAGCCTTAGGAAAGTTGAGAACCACTGCTCTAAAGTGTACCAGCTCTTCAGAACATTTTCAAAGCCTTTCCATTGGAAAAATTATTTGACTGTACTGTTCACCAGTCTTACCCTTGTTTTGACTGAAAGTAACACCCAATATTCTATGGAGCTAAAATTCAGTTGGTAAAGTGTGTTTAGCAAGCATGCTCAAGGCCTAGAATTTGATTCCTAACACTGCTATATAACCAGGTGTGGTGGCATGTGTGTATAATTCCAGCTTTTCAGAGGTAGTCAGAAGTATGACTAGGATTCAAAGATTCACAGCATGGCAGATTTAAGACTAGCCTGCGAAACATGAGACCATGTTTTAAAATGTTCACAGTTTGTGTTCACAGTTGCTCTGAGTTCAGATCCACAAATATCAAACAGTTTCTGGGGTCCTTTTATATACAAATATTCCCAGCAAATCTAGGTTAGGCTAGTCTTTTGGAATTTATTCCAAAATAAATTTTCCATAATGGAAAATTCCATAAGTTTTCCATAATGGAAATTCACTTGGTATGGCTGAGATTATAGCATCAGAAGTCTTCTGTTCCCCGTTGAATTGATTACTATCTTAGTGTCTAGGCAGACAAATAGATGATAACATTGAATGAGACAGATAAACAAGCTCTACCTTTGTACAGCTTATTCAAATAGGAACAGGGCTGGGAGAGCCAGCTCAGCGGTTAAGAGCACTGTCTGCTCTTCCAGAGGGCCTGGGTTCAATTCCCAGCACCCACAGGGCAGCTGACAACTGTCTATAATTCCAAGATCTGACACCCTCACACAAACATACATGCAGACAAAACACCAATGTACATAAAAAATAATAAACTATCAAATAGGAACAGGATAGACAGAATGGCACACACCTGGTAGTTCATTATGCACATATGCTTAGTGCCATCTTGTTTTCTCTTTGCTTAGGAATTAGATTCTAGGCCTTCAAACAAGTTGCTAAACCGAGGACATGATAGCTCCTATTTAAAAACACAGAAGAAATAGTGGCAGAGTTGTCAACAGAGGACTGTGAGAAGAGCCTGTTATCAGAACTAAGGAGTTACCCCCGAAAGGCTAGCTGTCCTCCTACTTAACTCCCTGCTCCATTAATTCCTTTTGAGGGCTGTCATGGTATCACAAGGCAGAGGATTGAGTTTGTAGTAAACTAGTATTTAATAGGTTAATAGAAGAAAAACTTAAAAAGACAGGCAAAGTTTCTGCTCCTGTCATGCTGGAGGTGGCTGCAATGAAGTCTTTTTGAGACTGTTACCAAATCCTGTGGTTACTGTCAGTCTTCATCTGTTGCTTATTTTCTGTTCACTTACCCTTTTTCCCTCCGTGGTGCTGGAGCCTGATCCCAGGACCTTCTGCAAGCTAAGAAATTTTGCTACTACTAAACTCTCCTCTTTATCGTACAACTGTCTCCAGCGTTGTTCTTAAGCAGCTTTGTCCCTTCTGATTTTATTTCTCTGAGCTGTACTCTGCTTCCTCTTGTTCTGTTTGTTTTATTTCTTTGAGGCAAGACCTCTCACCTTGTTTGGCTGTTCTGGAGCTTCCTGTATAGCTCGGGTTGACCGCAGCCTCCTTGAGTGCAGCTGACTTGTTGAAATTTTATTCTGTGTTTTTACCCTGTGCATTTGGGAGTGATACTACCTTTTTGCTGATTTTAATGGATATAATAAGCCATGTACCTCTGCTCATGACTTCTTCTGGATTTTTTTTTCTCCCTCTTCTTATAAAACCTCATGGCATCTCCACCAAGACCCTTTAAATTAACTGTCTCATCCCAGATGGTCTTCCATGTCTTTTTAAAATCCTCTTTACTTTGAGACAGCTAATTCCAGTTCCGGAACTTAGATCATACCTCATACTTAAAAGGGGGAAATAATAGGATCATTTTTCTAATTAGTTGGCAAAATTATAAATATATAGTATAAAAATAAATGTTGATAATTACATATTGGTAATACCAGGCGGTGGTGGTGGACACCTTTAATCCCAGACTTGGGAATCAGAGGCAGGCAGATCTCTTGAGTTCAAGGCCAGCCTGGTCTACAAGAGCTAGTTTCAGGACAGGAACCAAAAGCTACAGAGAAACCCTGTCTCAGAGGAAAAAAAAAAAAAAAGTATCCTAGGATCTTTGTTGCCAAGATAACTAATCTCATCTTTTCCAACAAACTTCCATCTTGTCTCTCTCTTTTTGTTATATTTTAATTTTCAAAGGATAATTTGAAATACTTAGTGCCTTCTACATAGCATAATCTTTTACTTATACCACTGAATTCTTTAAGTTCCAAGTAGTCTCCAGATTGTCATCGAGGAGCCTCTTTCAACCTGTGTTCACTCAGTGTCCCTGTGTTATATCAGATGTATTAGCCACATTTGATGATTTTGGTTTTCTTCTTTTCCTTTGCCCTTTTCTGTCATGTGTTAATACTCACATTGGTGTCTCAGCTTACTCTTTTATCTTAAGTTCCCATCAGCTTCTTGCTGGCCCTCAAGTTCTATTTCTACCTGCTAAGCTCCAGGCAATATTTCTCTATAACATTTCTAACATAGCAGAATTTTCAAATTCATCATTTTCACACCCATCTCTTTCTTAATTTAGGGCATTGTCTCTCATGTAGTTGACCAGCATTGTATGCGATGGTTGACTTCTTTATAGCCACCCACAGCCAGTGTATCCTAAATAAAACCAGTGACTTTTGTTTTGAAGTGTCATATTGTTTTATCCACCTCTTCCATTTTTATGGTGTCTCATCTGGACTTTTCATTATGCCAGTCGTGGTTTTATTAAAAACCTTTTGTAAGAAGGAGGAAAAATTATTAGGTGGTTTATGATAAAGACTGTCTTCCACCTGGCTCCAGGTGTAACTCTCTGGTTCCCAATGCTCTGTGCCTATTTATAGATCTTCCCTGTTCCCTTTGCCCGGAAGGCCAAGTCTGCATTTCTAATCTGTGGTTTGGTACGCAGTCGTCTAAATCTCAGTCTGATGATCTTTACTAAAAATTTCACAGTTGCTTAAAGTCCATCATCATCACAGCCTGAAAAAGTAGCCACACTGATTTCTATCCTGCTCCTTCTACTCAGCTAAAATCCATAGTGAAGTTCCAGGATTTGTATCAGTTCTATTTTCCTGGTGCTAGATTCCTGCCAGAAGCTATGAGATGAGAAACAGAAGAGAAGCTAGAATTATGGCGTCTTCCTGTGTTGTGGGAGCTCAGTCTGTTTAGCCAATGACAGATATGGGTGACTATTAATCTGTAATTCTTAATAACCTATATAGTTTTAAAAACTAAAGTTTCACATTATAAAAATAAACAATCTGTAAGCAGCTGTACAGAGGACATTGACCTCAGAATTGTGACAGTATACAAAAATATCGTAATCAGAGGTAGAAATGTGTAGTGCACTGTGACATAAGTATCCCTACTTTGGGGCTGGAGAGATGGCTCAGAAGAGAGAGCACTGACTGCTCCTCCAGAGGTCCTGAGTTCAATCCCCAGCAACCACATGGTGGCTCACACCATCTATAATGCAGTCTGGTGCCCTCTTCTGGCCTGCAGGCATACATGCAGATAGAACACTGCATACAAAATAAATAAATAAATAAATCT